AGATGTTCCCATCTGAAGTTCTCATTAGCCACACCAATCAGGTTAGCACATCGAGCCTTTATTGACTGCTTTCCAAGTGTCAGGAAGCCTTTTCACGGGAGGCTAGTGATCTCTTCTGTGTATCATCCAAAAGCAGGAATGCTGTACGCGCTCACACCACTCCACGCGTCACCCTGGGAAGGCCAAATGGAACTGAAAATAAGAAGGAGACTAAATGTTCTCATAACACAGCATAAGTATGTCCCAAACATTATTTAGGACTGCTTATACTAAAATTTTATCCACTATTTATCTGAAATTCAAATTTAACCAGGAGTTCTGTATTTTATCTGGCAGACAAAGCCATGCAGTCAAAATATCTTGAAAGGGCTGGGAAATGTTTTTTGGGAACTTTGAAAGCACCAGGCAATAAATAACATTGTAAGTGCTGACTCAAATTATTATTATAACTCTAGTAATAATATAAAATCATGTAATTTGTCATGTTATAAAAATTGAGTCTCTAAACCAGTGTAAGTTGAACTTTGTAATTGAATGCTCTCCCATTAGTTTATCTTCAGTTGATTCTTTTTTTCCCCTGATGTACATCACTTGTGTATTAGAGGCATAGGGTCTCCCCCTTCAGGTATTGTCACCACCAAAGCACCCACAGTCCATCCCCCAATGCTCCCTCCCTTTTTCTCACCCCTCCTCCTGCTTCTCTCCCTGTGGTAGCCTCAGTTATGTAGTCAGATTTCTGTGTTTGTTATTACTTTGGCTTTATCTGGCCCTTTGTTTGGTTTCTTTATATCCTATCTATAAGTACCTTCTATGCTGCAGGTTCTGAAGTTGACAATCTATTCAGGAATTCTTGAATAGAGCCCAGGATCTCATTGTGAGTCTTCTTTGTTAAAAAAAAAAAAAAAAAAAAAACAACCTTTCAATTTCAAAACTTTTTTATATTTTCATTAGTCATTCCTGTTATGTCAGTTTTAAGAGTTCACGTCTAAGCAAGCATAGTTTGTTGAAAATAGGCACACCTAATTTCCTCATTTATAGCTTATTATTAAAAAAATCATAAGACGCATAAGCAGCTAATTTTTTTATAAATAAACAGCTTGTTTCTTTAATCACACTGATTTAAACTTTTTCTCAAGAAAAAGAATCTTTCTAACAAAGTCCAGGTAGAAAGCAGCTGAGAGGAATTAAAAAATTCAGGATACTCTCACTCTTGAGGAGTTCCTTGAGCAAACATCATTCGTAGGGGGCCTGAGCCTCTGGGACGACTCAGAGGCTCTGAGCAGCGCTTGAAAGTTCTTGGAAATCAGTTTGGAGATGGCATCCAGGGCATTTCAGCTTCCCTGTGTGATATGGGCTGTTTATTCTGAAGCTTTTTATCTCATAATAGTGCAGGTCTTGTCCCCTTGAAACAATGAATCTTTTCCCCTCTTAAAGTGACCTAATTCATCCAAAAGTTATTGCAGGGGCCTCTCAGGACCAGATTCTTTAAGCACTGGGGATCTATTGACCCACAAGCCTCCTGGCACTAACATTCTATGGGAAAAGCTAGGCAATAAGTAACGCATGTGAGAAATCGTGTGTTAGAAAGTAGTGCTTATTATGGTGGGAAGGAAGAACAGGGCAGGGGGTTCTGGATTCCAGGTTGGAAAGGTAGCCTTTTTTTTTTTTTTTTTTTTTTCCTTTTTTTCTTTTGCAAGAGCCAATCTAATTAATGTACTTTATTTTTTACACATTTTCCTTCTTTTTTTGTTTTTGGTGTGAAGTTTATTTTAATTTTTTTCTTTGTTGTTTTCCCACCACTATCTCTTAGATCCTATTGTCCCATCCCCTCCCCCTCGCTATTAACCTAAGAGCCTCATTGTATTTATTAATATCTACTAGTTTTTGTAAGTATTTTACTTTATCAAATCATCTGCTACATAAATGTCCAGTGTTTGTTTCTATCGCTTGCTTGCTTAATTACACATAATTCTCTCAAACCCCCTCATGTTCTTGAAAATGACTTCACTTCGTCTTTCCTTGTAACTAAATAGTATTCCATAGTGAGGACATGTGGCTATAACCACATCCTCTTGATCCAGTCACCTACACCATTCCATCCTGAATGTGTTCTGTCTAGGAAGCTAAGCAGGCTCAGGACTGGTTAGTACTTGGATGGGACTGCATTTTAAACACTGAGGTCGTGGGACTTGTTGGAGGTGACATTTGAGCAAAGACTTAAGGGGACTTGGGAGTGAGCCCCAGGGGTGATTTGCAGGAATAGTGTTCCAGGAGAAGAGGAACAGCCAGCACAAAGGCCCTAAGTCCCTGAGCACTTCTGACCTGTGGCTCCATCATGACTGTTCCCAGGGAACATTCCACATTGTCTGCAGGACACTTACATTTATTTTTACTGGGATAGAGGGGATGCTACTGGCATTTCCTGGCTCAGGAAGCAGCTAAAAGACTGATCAAATATTGTCCAAATATTAACAACACTGTAAGGGGAAAAAGTACTTTTAAAAATTAAAATAAAAAATAAAAACAAATTTTTTTTTACTGAAATGACTTTATTATTTTTAAATAAATTTTATTTTTATATTCCCCATACAATTGCAACCCCCTTATTTTTGACCCCAATCCCTCCCTTCCCTGCCCCCACCCCACCGCCCATAGAGTGTCTCTGGTTCATAGTTAAAAACAAATTTTTATAAAGCACATGCCATGAGTGTTTTGGTGGCAGGTGCATGGACATGTGCACATGTGAAAGAACAGAAATTGAAGTAAAAAAAATTTAAAAAAAGAATGATTCAACCCCAAATGTCAGTGGTGCCAATGTCGAGAAGCCCTGTACTTGAGGAGCAATATGGAGGCCAGAGAGGCTGGAGGTGAGGTAGTGATAAGAGAGGTGGGAGATAAAGTCCAGGGTAACACAGCCTGGGGAGATGGGGTGGTCAGGTGAGGTGGCCTTAGACCAGTGTGAACTTTGGCTTTTACTCCAAGAGAAATGGGGAGCCTCTGTCAGTCTTAGAGCAGAGGAAGAACATGGGCTGCTTAATCATTTTAAGGGTGTGAGTCTGGTTACCAGGTGGAAATAGATGGAGAGAATGGCTACAACAAGGGCCCTCAGGGGTGGTGGCGGTTATCCAGGCAGGAGGTGATGGGGCTCAGACCAGGGGGGACGCAGCTTTGTGGTGTTGGTGCAGCAGAACCATCCAGTGCCAAATTAAGATACTGAGCAGCAGTATATGATATTACATATCATATACTTCACATATATTATACACATTATATAGATCTATAGATATGGCTAAGTGACTTGAGCTGGATTTTGTTTTACGCAATAGGGTTTCTGACACCTGTTTTAACAATCAGTTTGAGACAGAACAATTTGATGTGGGTTAAGCAGGATATAATCCTATCCTTTACCATGGTGTTGGCAAAAAGCATTCACTCTTGCCAAAAACTCTTTGGTATTATATTTTTCTATGCCACGTATAATTGCAGACATACTAAATTACCTGATAATGAGGTGAGGGGGGACATAAAAGGTTTAGCCCTGATAAATGAGTTTTAATCACTTTCCTGTCTTAGAAATCTATTAAATTATTTACATAGTTACTTTTCTCTTACTTGATCAGCCAAAGCAGATGCTGAGACACGACAGAAAACATCAAGCTCTTGCTAATTCATGCTTTTGCCCAAAAGTCTCAAACGTCTTAGGCGCATCACTTCGTCTTCCTGCTGGTGACCTCCCTAGAGTGCAGCAGGCTTGGGGTCAGGCTGCCTCTGTCCATATCTCGGCGTTGCATTTAGTGCTAGGATACATTCAAGCACCATCTTACAAAATGTTGGCAGCAATAGCGTATTATAACATTATGTAAGTTACAGGGATGCATTGTCACAAATCAATATCTGTTAAACTACATTAAGTTCACCACTTTTGAAGTTATACTGTTCCAAGGAAGTGGTAAATTAGTCTTTATGTGAAAAGTCAGCTGGTCTTCAATCTCACTGTTTTTTTTTTTTAAAGATTTATTTGTGCATAGAAGAACTGGGGTGTAAGCCAGAGATGGAGAGGGAGAGAGGATTCACCAGAGACAAAGTGGGGAGCAAAACATGCAGATCAACTGAAATACACTGCTGAGGGGAGCAGGGGCCAAGAAAGGAGAGGTCTGCTGTGCCATCTGGGTTAGCTCCCTGGCCGGGGATCAAACTCATGCTACAGTGGTTGGCGATAGCTTGAGAGTGCTGAGACTTTAACTTCTGCTCCACCAGGGAGGCTCTCAATATCACTGTTTTGTTTTTTTAAAGGAAGTTCTGAAAAACAGTGGTGCTCTTCATTTGTTTCATCAAAATTGTTCTTATCCCACTCAGCCATGCAGAGGGGTTGAGTAGGGATCCATTTTAGGGAAGACCACTTGATATTTCAGATCTAAGTAGTCATGTTGGAAGACTTCCCAGGCCAAGATCACACTCTAAGACAGAATTTCTTCTACCCTGGTCCAGGAATTCACCATGTCAGAGCTCCTCCAGAACCTGTTAGAAATGCAGATTCCTTGGCCACTCCCCAGAACAAATGCCCCAGACCCCTGCAGGTAGAACCAGGAATCTGCACGTCAGTGGCATCCCAGGATAGTCTCAGTCACACTCATGCTTAAGGACCAGGGCCGGAGATCATGTTACCAACCCTCAAGGACCAGCCTGCACACAGCAACCTCAGCACAGATTTGTTTAAAATGGCAGCTGTTACTCAAGTGAAAAATATGCTTCTAAGGATTTGTTTTCTCCAAGGAAGAATGTCACCCTCCTTGACAGTCTCTTCTTTCCAATGAATGATCTTCGTTCTGTCAGGAAAGGAGAGTATGTTTTAGCCTCTGTGCCGGGTGAACGACAGGGGTCACTTGACTTGAGTGGCTGACAGTTTGGCTGTGGGTCCGATCCTGGCTGCCTTTTGACTTTGGCTTGAAATGATCATTGTTGTTGTCTCAAGTGACCTTTTCTGTTTTCTCCTTGAACAGCAAATATGCCAGAGGATTATCCCGATCAGTTTGATGATGTCATGGATTTTATTCAAGCCACCATTAAAAGACTGAAAAGGTCACCAGATAAACAAATGGCAGTGCTTCCTAGAAGAGAGCGGAATCGGCAGGCTGCAGCTGCCAACCCGGAGAATTCCAGAGGGAAAGGTCGGCGAGGCCAGAGGGGCAGAAATCGGGGCTGTGTCTTAACTGCAATACATTTAAATGTCACTGACTTGGGTTTGGGCTACGAAACCAAGGAGGAACTGATTTTTAGATACTGCAGTGGCTCCTGTGATGCGGCCGAGACAATGTACGACAAAATACTAAAAAACTTATCTAGAAATAGAAGGCTGGCGAATGACAAAGTGGGGCAGGCGTGTTGCAGACCCATCGCCTTCGATGACGACCTGTCATTTTTAGATGATAGCCTGGTTTACCATATTCTAAGAAAGCATTCCGCTAAAAGGTGTGGATGTATCTGACCCCGGCTCCAGAGACCGCTGTGTATTGCATTCCTGCTACAGTGCAAAGAAAGGGACCAAGGTTCCCAGAAAATGTTTGCCCGGAATGGAAGATGAGGACCAAGGAGGCGGAGGGGCAGAAGGAGGAGCAGGAGGAACAGGAGGAGGAGGAGGAAGAAGGCAGCCATTGTGGGAGCCTGGTAGAGGGAGATCCAGCTACAGAAAACTGGACAGGAGAGAAAACCGCCGTCGGGATGGTCCAGGATGGCAGCTGGTGTCGGCAGAAGCTCAGGGCCAGTGTCCCAGGCTGGCGTTGCCATCTTTCATCTGATGCAGTCCCCCGGCCCCGGCCCCGGCGTGGTTGCGGATGCACTTGAAACCAAGCCAGTGTATCCCCTGTGGTTTGTTTTCACTTGTCTGGAGATGCCAGGGAATCGGTAATCCCGGTGTCATTCCTTGTCATTACATTTTACTGCTGAAAACAAGAAAGGTTTCTTTATCTGTCACTCAGTGGAGACATATCCCAAAAGGGAGAAGAAGAAAAACAACAACAACAAAAGACACAAGAGGTGTCCTGTGTCTTTGCATTTGAAAGTTGAGGCCTAGGTTTACTACAACCAGCATTTTGGTGAACGGTGGGTGATGGATTTTGAACTTGGTGTGTGGGGTGGGAAGAAGTTGGCTAGGAACCAAAAAGCCTGTCCTCATGACTAAAAACAAACCTGAAGGTATTTCCTTTATGTCCTTGGAAACAGGAAACCAGTTGCGGTTTTCGGCAGCATTCTTGCAGGAGAGCGAGTGGGGAGGCCCCAGCTGCACAGGGTGACCTGCCGGCCTGTCGGTTTACAGAAAGACAGATGTTACATACACCCCAGCTCCGTTTATGCATGGTCACCAGTGACCAGAGAAGCTACTCGATGCAATGCATCTGTTTCAGATACAGAAATATAGAGAAGATATTTATTGAGATTTAAGTTATTATTATTTATTACCGTTCACTCATGAGTTTCTCTTTTTTCCCTTATTTATTAAAGTTTCTTTTCAAAGGTGCCAAAGTATATGTGCTCACAAAATGCAAAGAAAGTGACAAAGGCAATTTTAATTGGAAACAAGGGTCCATGCTTTCAAAGTATTAAAAAGTTTTCACTAGGCAAAAATCACTTACTTTACCTTTTTAAGAAAAACTCTCATGTTTCCCGGATTTCAACATCATCCCTTTTTTTTTTTATCTTTTAACAAAGCAGTGGGTCAGAAGTGTTTCTGACAGGCCCCTTTTCAGGAACAGTGTGCAGAGACCACTGGCACTTGGCTTTATTTCTTCCTTGCTCCATCACTGAATGGATACACCATCCTCTCTGCTTCCTGTTGTATTTAACTCCGACTCCCCTCCACATATATCTATGATATGCATAACCATATATAGGAAAGGTTAAATTCCTTTTAGTAGTAGTCCTGGATTCAATGTTGACCTCAGAGTAAAAATCCTGTCAGGTGGCCAGGTTCTGCCCTGGCTTTCTCCAGTCCACTGAGAGCAGCACCCAGCCAGAAGCAGGGTCCTCCTGGTTGCTAGCAAAGCCCCTTAACTGTTGCCTCAGAGCAACAGTTTCCACCCCTGCCCATCCAGCCCCTTCCTTGGAGGAAGGTGGCCCAGGAGGGCGGACGAGGACAATGTGTCTGGAGACCCCGGCCACATACTGAGCCTCATGCTCCCTGCATGGGCTTCCTTGGGCCTGACAGGCTTCTCTGGGGAGGAAGCGTAGGGTGGAAACTGCCACCATCTCGAGCTCCAGATTATGAACTTGTCTGGCACTCGGCACACGTGCAATGCATTGGGCCCTTTATTAGAGCGTGTTGCACATTTCATCAAAGGAGATTTTTATCAAGGATATAATCTATCATGACCTTAGAGGAGCTTAGGCCAAAAGAGTGAGATTTACTAATTAAATTACCTAGTGGCCTCCCTCAAATAATCATGTTAATTTTACAAAGTAGACAAGAGGCAGCAGTTACCAGACGTCCCCTTCCCTCACCCCCAAAGCCCCTAGTTCTCCATCATTCTGCCCCTCTCTGTCCTCTCTGCTCCCATGGCGTGACTCGGAAGTAGAGGAAAAGGGCCTTCATCTCACCTTCTCCAGGGACCAGAGCAGCCGGCTCGAAATAGTGACAGACCCAGCCATCTGGTCATTCCTAAAGCACAGTTGGGACGTAGCCCCGGATCATCTGTGCGATTCAGAGAGTCCTGGCAGATTTGGTGGCTGGTGTCCCCAGGTGTCAACCCCGTTAGCTCCCAGCTCCCCACGGAGAGTCCTGCCCATTGGGGCTGTGGGATTCAGCGGGTGTTGACAACTTGTCGCCAGCACCCCCTACACACCATCAGCACGTTTTAACTGAAGCCGAATGCTCCACCAAATCCACAAAAGGGTAAAGTTTGTGATTTTTCTTTATCATTGTGATTGCCATCTGATTCAGTAAGGAGTACTCTTCTTTGGAAGTTCTGACTTCTCTGATCTGTCTTGGTCATTTGTGTTATACAACCAAAGTTCTCTACAGACTTTATTTTTGTACAATATCATTTTGTAACTTTTTACAAATAAAAACTCATTTCTATTGCTCTCTGCGCTTCTGTACTCGCTCACATACCTTTGCACCAAGGCCGGGTCAGGCAGCCATCCACAAGCTTTTTTACCACCAGATCACCCAGTCTTGCCCAGCCACTCTCTACAACCCACGCCATCTAAGCGGGAGAAAGCTTGCAAAGCTTCCCTTCATTCATTCAACAGATTTTTTTTTTTCAAATGGTTTCCGTTTTTTTAAGATTTATTTATTTATTTATACAAGCACTGGGCACAGGCAGAAGCACGGGAAGGTGAGAGAATTCACCAGAGCCAGAGCGGGGAGCAGAGCAGGCAGAAGGACCAAAGTACACTGCTGAGGGGAGCAGCGGGGCGGCAGGAGAGGTCTGCGCGCCATGTGGGACCCTCGCCGGCAGCCAGGGATCAAACTGGCGCTGCAGAGGCTGCGGGCAGCTCTGCAACCCAGCGCTCCACCGCTGCGCCACCAGGGGAGGCCCCATTCAACAGATATTTATGGCACGCCTACACGATGCCAGATACTGCTTGAGACACCAGAGACACAACAGGGGCTGAAACAAAAAAATTTCTACTCAGGCTCATGGAAGTGATGCTTCGTTGGAGGGGAGACAGACAGTATTCAAATAAATGAAAATACGTAGTGATCCAGGTGGTGATAAATGAACTGTCATTTTAAGGATATAAACAAGAGAATATGATGGAAAATAACAGGGGGGCTGCTTTAATTAGAGGTGACATTGAGGCAGGACTTCAGAAATAGTGCCAGTAAATAAGGAGAATCCTGGCAAAACCCTCAGGCAGCAAATAGTTGGCCACAGCCACCACTTTGCACCACTCCAGTGACACCATTCACGTCATTCTCCGCAACAGTATAGCAGAATCCCTGGAATTGTGCAGACGGAGGTCTTGAGTTTAAGTTATTTTGGTGGCAAGAACAACACATTGAAGAGAGGAAATGGGACTGACTTGGCTGGGGAGAAGGACCTGCTTCCTCCTCCAGGGACACACACCCATGTTGTCACCGCAGCCACTATTAAAAGGTGGCCTTGTGCATTTTAAACCCAAAGCAAAGCTCTGGTGCCTTTAAAACTCTTCTAAGCTAGGCTAGGCTTTCCAAGGGCAGCATCCATGCATTGCTGGAGTGCCCTGCCCTCCAGGCGTTCACCTCCATCCCACTGAAACTAGATGGAGTCACCGGTTCCCACTGTAGACACTGGGCCCTCAGGATCCTGCCAGGGCAGTGCTGAGGCCAACCTTGCTTTCTCTAAGCCAAATTTTGGTACGAAGCTAGTGACATGGAGAGGGGAGGCAAAGGTGGTAAAACTCTTGCTTTCTTCCACTCCCTTTTCAAAGTCATTTCCCCCAAGTGTGTTCCTGGGATGACTTCCTAGGTGACATGCTCCCCACCCCATCCCCGACTTCCCCAGAAAAAGTAAGAAAGAGGACTGGATTGTTCTCTGATCAAATAAGTTTGGAAAATAGCAGGTTAAACAACATCAAACAATTTTCTAAAGTTAACACGAAAACTTTGTAGAACTTACCAGAGCCTTTATTGGACTGACAGTAATAAAGGACTGTAGTGTGCAGAATCCCCAGGTGGATGGGTCATGAAATCACCCGTGGTTATGTTTCCTTTCTCATGAGACCTGTTGACCATTCTGGAAACCACCTGGGACCATGTTGCCTGCTCCTAAGAGCACTGGGATGAGCAGAGAGGGAGACTGGAGACAAGTAAAGAGGCAGACACTACTGGGCAGCTTCCCAGAGAAGGACCCCACACACACACACCATACACATACACGCACGTACTCATGCATGCATGCATGCACGTGTGCTCTCTGAACACACATGCTCTCTGAACTTTTGGGCACTGTGGTTTTGTGCTCAGCATGAGTAACCACTGGTCAGCTTTGGAAATTTCATTTACCAGAGTAAGGGAGAATGTGTTGAAAGCCTAGATATTCTCAACAATGAGAAAGGGAACATTTACTGTGCTTACCACAAATCTTCACCCTGCTAAAGTTGTTTCAAACTGCCAGTTTTGTGGCTGGTCCAGGAAGGAGAATGAGTTCCCCTCGCAGTCCTTAGGGAGATGCTGCTCCACTCCACGTCAGGCTGTGGATTCCTTGCTGCTGGGAATGGTGTGGCTGTACTAGGTCAGGAGCCCAGGCCCCAGGCTCTGACAGTGGCGCGTGGTTTGTGTCCACGAGACCTTGCCAGGCTGTTTGTCTCTGAGTGGCCAGAGCTCAGCGAACACTTAAAGAACTTTTAAAAGAATCAGTCCACTTCAAAGTACATATGAAATCAGAATTTCCTGAACCTAAAGTTCAGAAATAGCGCACCCCTTGCTCCCCATGCAGGGTGCTACCTGCGCTGGGCTGACTTGCTATCTGACAGCAGGGTCACAGGCTGGCTAAATCAGACTCCACCTTCCTTCTCAGAGCACTGCGGCAGGAAGGGGGAGGAAGGTGTCAGCCACCAGGACCTCGGGTTTCTTCCAGTAGGTAATGAAAAGTCTGAGCCCACAATGTCTTCTTAGGACACATCTTTGTTCACAGAAATGTGCAATAATTCCCTGCACTCCTTAACTCGACTTTTGTTTCATCCTACAATATCCTGAATGAAACCAAAACCAAATGCTGCCGAGTCATTTCTGAAAATGAACAGATAGTTGGGGAAATGGAGGAAAGCCCCTCTTTACTCATAGTGATGACCCAGCTCTGCCTCGCAGGCCCCACCCATGGCAGGTGCTGGTAGTAGCAGGTGACGGTAATGGCTGTGAGAATACAGACGGGCAGGATGGGCACTGACAGGTGCACAGAGGTGCTGGGAGGGCTGCAGCTGGGAAGAAAACCTGAAAAGAAAATGAGTCCCTGACGTGACAAGTAGGTCTGCCCAATAATTTGAATTTCAGATAAACATGCATGATTTCTTAGGATAAGTAGGTCACATACATGATTTGGGAGATGCAATATTTGGGATACACTTACACTAAAATGATTACTTGCTTGCCTGCAATTCAGCTAGACATCCTATATTTTAATTTGCTAAATCTGGCAAGAGAAAGTGATATTCGAGCTAGGCCTTGAGTCTGAGCAGGAATCTGTCAGATGGGGGGAGGGCGCAAAGGCCAGGGCAAGGGGGTTGGGATGAGGGACAGACACACGGGGGGGGGGGGGGGGGGGGGGGGGGAGTGAGCGGTGTGACCCAAAAGGGCAGAAGGAGTCTGTGTGAAGGAGCAGTGGGTGGGTGGTGGGCTCAGGCTAACGTAACTGTTAGCCACACAAACACCTTATCGAGAGGCCGTGAGATTATTAAAGACATTAACAAAATTTAATTTTAGGGTTTTTGTCAGGAGAAAAATGACTATGGCAATAATAAATATACAATAACAAATCCATTGTTTTGTTCTAATACAGTTGTATCATTTTTACACTTTAATGAAGCAGGGCTCACAAAAGCAAAAGTGCCCACCACAGCTGGATTGGACCCAGGAATCACTGGTAGCAACGGGCATTTCGTGTCTTCTAGCTGCCTCCCTTCAGTTTCCCTTGCTTTCTCCGGCATTAAAGCCAGCCTCAAAGCTTCTTCCCACCCTGCTGAAGATGTTTGCATTTAATTCCCACTTAGGGAAACAAATCATCAAAGGGCAAGTCATTAACATTCCAGAACTCATTGCCCATTTTTGACAGAAACCAACTAAGCAGGGGACCAGGAGCAGACTTGTGGTCCAGGAAGACGAAGGAACGGACAGGTCAAGGTGGACAGAGAGAGGGTGGATAGAGAGAGAGAAGAGGAAACTTCCAGGAAATTGGAAAAGCAGGGGACCTGGGTAATGACAAACGAGGAGGTTTTAAAACCTGCAGAATAGGGCCTCCCCGGGGGCGCAGCGGTTGAGCGCTGGGTTGCAAAGCTGCCCGCAGCCTCTGCAGCAGTGGTTCGATTGCCGGCTGCTCCCCGGCCACCGGCGGAGGGTCCCACATGGCGCGCAGACCCCTCCTGCCACCCGCTGCTCCCCTTGTAACAGGGTGGTCCCCAGGAAAGGGGGAGGTTCCCTGCCCCACCCAAGGGAGGGTGGAGCTGAGCAGGAAGAGGAGAAGCTGGAGAAGAGACTGAGGAAGGAGGCAGGATGGAGCCAGGAGACCTGGAAGAGGCGCATGGAGCCTAGAGACATGTGAAGAAACTGCACTTGTCTTTTGGTCGTGGACTAGGTGACACAGATGTGGGTGAGACCCGTGGGGAGGTGACAATGGCAGCTTTTATCTTGATGTTGATTTTGCTCTTTTCCTTCCCGGCTTGTCCGGTTGTTTGTGACCCTTTTCTGTGGGTCCCCACTGGAAGATGCTTTAGACTTGTGGCAAGCTTTGGGGCCTTGTTCTGGGCCGATCCCATATGGATGGACTTTTACCCACGAGGGGACGGGTAACTTTGGGTGCTTCACTTAGAAACTAGACTCTTTGCCTTACCTGTATTGTTTCCTAGTTTTATTAAAGTTCCTTCCCATTAAAGTCTCCTATGTTTTGTGTTGATGCGGCGGATGGCAGAACCCATTTAGAATAGGCAGGTTTGCGGGGCTTGGGCTGCCCCTCTCCCTGTCCTATAACACCCTCAGCAGTGTACTTCGGGCCTTCTGCCTGCTCTGCTCCCCGCTCTGGCTCTGGTGAATTCTCTCAACCTCCCGCGCTTCTGACTGTACCCAGTGCTTGCATAAATAAATAAAAAATAAATAAATAAATCTTAAAAAAAAAAAAAAAAGCCCTGCAGAATAATAAATAAATAAATAAAACCTACAGAATAAATCATTTATACTTGGGTAATTCTTTAAAGTGGTATTTGTTACCGGATGGTCTCACTCATAGCAGGAATCTAGAAAACTTAAATAAGGGACCAGGAAAATGAATATAAGAAAGTGAAAATCAAAATCAACAAAAAACTATGAACCAGAGACACTTTTTGGGGGGTGGGGGTGGGAGGGGAAGGATTGGGGTCAGAATGGGGCGTTTGCAATTGTATGGGGGAATATAAAAATAAAATTTAATATTTAAAAAAAAAAATAAAAAAAAATAAAGTGGTATTTGTGGGGGATTTTAATTCACTTCC